TATGATAGCAGTCTTCCAATATTTGAGGGGGTCAATCTATTTTCCAAAGCACCTGAAAGCCAGACAAGGAAAAATGGATGGAAACTAACGAAGGAGAGGAGCAACTTTAGAACTAAGGAGAAATTTCCTGAGACAATTAATCACGGATTCAGCTTGGCTTCAGAAGTTATGGGCGCTCCATGGCTGGAGGTTTTCAAAAAGAGGCTGGACAGCCGTTTGTCTGTAATGGTGTAAGGGTCTCCTGCTCGGGTTAGACTAGAAGACCTCCGAGGCCCCTTCCAAGTTTTATTATTCTACATTCTGTGCCAAAAGGATTGGTTGCCTAGTTCTTGATCCTGTAAATAAAGTTCCTAGCCTCGTAAATCCACAGGCACTTGCTTGCGTTAGGACTTTTCCCGGCAGGCACAATGCAGCAGGAATCCAGCCTTGATGAACCTCCGATGGCAGAGGGTTGTTTTTCAAGGCCCCATGTCAATTTGCGGCGTCCAGAAGTGGCAGGCACGAACTGGACACTCATATTTTGGGGATGGCGTATGCTGCAGACCTCCTGCCAAGAATGGAAATGGCGTCTGAAGGGCCCAGACCTCCTCCGCCAAGGACTCCATCAAGGACACCTGTAAACCCCTCAGCGCCAACGTACCGACCCCTCAATCTCCATACGGACCCCAATATAGACCTCGCAATGCTTCAGCACCCCTGAATTTTTTTGGGGTGGGGGTGGGAGCCTGTGCATTTCATCGGATCTCTTGCCGCAAGGCGCCAGAACCTGGCTGTTTTCGAAGCGTAGCTGGTAACCGGAGCCGAGAGCGAGGCGCCGCTAGAGTTACACGAAGACGCTCCTTATCCGTATGTGGACTGATGGTTCCTAAATGTAAGAAATCCATCATTTCTCCTCTGATGAGGACATGGATTGGTCACGGAGGGAGAAATATCAGACTTTGCAAAAATCCAGGTTCGTTGACCGAAACTAAGCTTGGAAAAAGAAAAAAAGAAAAAACCTTGGAAAAAAATTCTACGTGCCTCCTGCAGTTTGTTTTGCAAAGCACTCTAAGAAAAAAACAAGAAGCCAGAGAGCGTTTAAATATTAAATATCCTCGTCTTTTGTTTAATCTTTCCTTTCCTCGACCCCTGCCTCTGTGCCTTCTCATTTTCCAATGAGGCTACTTAGCAAACTCTCTCTCACCACTGCCTGGGTAAGTGCCTGTCTTGAACCCTCTTGAGAGGCACTTAAATGCAAAACGAGACCATGAAGCATTCATTTCTCAGAGCACAGGAGGAAGAGAAGTTGGTAGCCATTCAGGATGGAGTTTCTGGATTTTGCGTGGTTTTCTAGAGATATCTGGTCTTATTCGGCTGTTTTTATGCACCGCCAGTTGTTGTTTTAGAGGATAAATAGCGCAAGAAGTTGTGGAGAGGCCTCTTTGCCAAATAGGGCGCTCCTTTGGCAAACTCCTTCGCGGTTATTTCCTTCTTCCACTTTTTAAACCGCTGTCCTGGGGCATCCTGGGTGAGGCAGCTCGGCAGCCAACCTGGGGATATCTGCCCCACATGTAAAACATGTGTTAAAACCATGTAGACACATTTGGGGCTTCTGTGTAAGTGCCTGGAGGGATTGATTGCTAAGTGCCGGTTGTTAAACAACCTGAGGAATTTGCAAGAAAGCTGAAAGAAAGCAGCCAAGTTGAAAGGGGAGGCGGCTTTTCCTTCCACACCGCGTGAGAATTTATGGCCTTTTAAAACTTTAGCAGAAGCAAGCAGGAACCGAGGCTGTCACTCAAGCCCCTTCTCTTGCTTCGCTTCCCCACTTTCAGAGCCTGGCTGCGGGAGGGAAAAAGGCGAAGGGAACTGGGGAAATTCGCAAGAAATTTGCAAGAAAGAAAAGCGGTGGAACGGTTGTGCAGGGTTTTCCAAATCTTGGTGCCCGCTTTCCTCTGTCAAAGAGCTCCGGCCACACGCATACGCGGCCACACGCCCCTCCTGTGCCAACCAGAGAAGTTTGATCAAGCTTGGAGATTCCTTCCTTCCTCGGCTCAGAAGACGTCGTCGACCTGTTGCCAGTTTCCCGGAGCCCGTGGTTGTTGGCACAGGATCCCGACAAGCATAGCTTGCAGGACAGACTGCCCTTCCCTCTGGTTTGTTCCAGCAGTTTAGTCTCTGGTGGATGGAATTACAGCCGCCTCGCCTGGATGCAAGCCACCGAATTTGCAGCAAAGCCTCCCTGACAGGACGCCTTTCAAAGCCTTCTCTGCCTTTCTTTTAACTCTCCCTCCTTCCTGCCTGCCCGGAGTGAGACTTCTTTACAAGGAGCAAAGCCCTCTAGCGGCTTGGCTTCTTCATCAGGGCCGGTGGCTTGACTGCAGGGAGAGATTGACAGCCCGGATTCCACAGGTGTCATTGGCCCGAGGCGTGCTGCTGGGATGTGCTTTCCTTCCCAGGGAAGTCGGGTTCCCTTGGCTTGGCTTGGCTGGAGTCACCTGAAAAGTTTCAGAAAAGGGAATCTGAACAGGAGAACGTGCAAAAGGATATTTGTGCACCTTTTATTCTGGGGGAAGCTGCGGGGCTTCATCTGCGCACAAGAGGAGATCACAGCCCTGAAGGAGCTGCTCCAATGACACATGCACCTCCCTCCCTTCTTTTTCCTATTCCTAACTCCATTCCTTCTCCTTCCTTCCTTCCCCTTTTTCTTTATTTCCTTCCTTCCTTCCTCTCTTCCTTCCTTTTCCTATCCCTAACTCCATTCTTTCTCCTTCCTTCCCCTTTCTTTTCTTTCCTTCCTTCCTTCCTCCTTTCCTTTCCCCATCCCTGCCTTCATTCCATCTCCTTCCTTCCTTCCCCT